CCAAGATGAGATGCCAAGTATCTGCTTGAACTAGCATCACAGAGCAGCACACTGAGTTTAATGGATGTTTCCTTCTGCACTTTCTCTCTCACGACAACAGGGCATGTTTGGTTTCTCTTTGAGGGAAATAGTTTTGTTGAAGCTGTTGTTGGCCTGTGGGAAAATGTAATCATAAGAAATGACTCTGGAGAAGCTGCAGATAGAGCCATAAGAAATGAATCAACTGATTATTTAATGTTTAATGTTGTTTTTATAGGCAATCATTTAAGCTTTGTTAGTTCCAGGTTTAATATGTGCAATAAGTTCATTTCAATAAGTTCTGCAATAAACATTGAACCAGTCCGGCCCTCCACTAGTACCCATTTTTTTTATTTTTGGCCCACTGTGTATTTGAGTTTGACACCCCTGCTCTAATGTCTCGCTTCTTCATCACCGTCATTAAATGTATTTACGTATGATTTTAGAATGTGTTTCTTTTGCACTTTGTCTTAATGCTTTTGCAGCCATAAGACATCAAATTTGCCATCAAAATAAACTTGCCTTGCACAACGATAGATATTATTCTCCTGCACCAAATGCATGACTGAAATGCATTGTGGGTAATGTAAATCCCCCAGATTGACCATGATTGGTGACCGCTCTTTAAAGTCCCTGCTAATACTGAAACTCCTAAAGTCTGCTCAACACTCTCTAACAAAGTTATATCTGTTGTTTCTCTCCCAGGCCATCAACCTGCTCCCGGCTAACACTCAGATCAGAGAGATCCGCGTGTTCCTGGAGAGCGTCCTGGAGGAGAGGGCTCAGAGGAAACGCTGCAACCAGGTCCTGAAGAGCCTGCTGCAGGCAGAGTTCCTCCGGGTGAGACTCTGGAACATTTACAGCTCACTCTTTTCCACAAAAACAATATATTAAACTGTTTTTTTTTTTTACTCCTCTGTCTCGATGTTGCAGGTGCAGGAGGAGAGGATCTTCCACCAGCAGGCGAAGTGTGTCATCACCGAGGAGAAGACCTGCCGAGTCTGCAAGAAGAAGATAGGAAACAGGTAACACGTTATTATCCTTTATTCCTTTTTCTACCATTTTTTATGAATAACAGTATAGATGAGACTTAACACCTACGTCACTACCGGGCGAAAATGACGGCCCCGCCCACTTTTTGGGGGAAACAACGCTGTCATTTGAATGGCGGTCAATACAAATTCTGAAGTTTTTGCCAATCCGATCAGAAATGTTTGAAATCCGTGGATTGTCTGATTTTCAAAGAGCCCGATCACGATGGCCAGTCAGGCAAACATCACATTAAATCATTGGAAATCGACGATCGGGCTCGATATATGGTTAAATTAAAATCAGTAGGCGAGGCTGTAATTTCGCCGGCTGTTACGCTCATGAGCGAGGCGGAAAATAATATTTGTATCATGCCAAAAAGCTGCTGTGTCGTTTATTGCGCCTCAAACATTAAAAACAAATCCAGAGTTCAGTGTTTCTGAACTTCCTCTAAGAAGAAAGGACAGTAACAGAAGAGCTCTGTGGCTTCAGGCTCGATCGCCGTTCAAGTGACAGCGTTGGTTTCCCCCAAAAGTGGGCGGGGCCGTAAAGTGACGTAGATGTTACTCATGTATGGACATTGATAGCCTACTGCCATATTTAACCATACATCGAGCCCGATCGTGATTGGTTTCAAATGATTTAATATAATTGTTTGCCTGTCTGATCATAGTAACCGGGCTCTTTGAAGATCCACAAATCCACGGTTTTCTTAAATGTCTGATCGGATTGGCAAAAACTTCAGAATTTGGATTTACCGCCGTTCAAATTACAGCTTTGTTCTCCCCCAAAAAAGTGGGCGGAGCCGTCATTTTTTGCCCGGAACTGACGCATGTGTTACTCTCATGTATGCACTCTAACTATTAAGTTCTTAAAAAGCATTAATTTATCTATTTTTTAATTTTTTATTTGTTTTTCTAATCCTTGTTGTTTCACTTTTATTCAAAATGTGTCATTACTCAACCTTGTCTTCAGAATATGGAGAAAACATAAATAAGAGGAATACAGGAATAAAATAATAATAGTGCACAACAATACATTCTAAACCTCTTCATTTAAATGACTCTTTTAAGGAGTTTGATTTGGGATAAAGTACTTACTGTGACATTAAGGCTAAAGGCAGCAGATGGATTAGTAGCTATTTAGCTATTAGCTCCAAATCGTGGAATCAATCATCTCTCTTTTCTGAGATTAATGGCAATAAACCGCGACTACTTCTCTAGGCACGTGCACTTTCCGCTCTGCACTTAGTCCAAATAGCTCGTCCTGCACTGGCCATCCACTTGTGTATGTGGTGACCTGACGCCAAGCTCCCATCAGCAAAAACAACACGTGGGTTGCTATCCTGGCTCCAAAATGGTGGAGACGAGTCGCCCATTTGAAATCAGGACAGCAGACAGCTTACACATCTCCGGCGCAGCTCAGTGAAGTTTCAGCCCTTAGGAACAAACCCCTTCAAAATATATAGAAACGTTATTGTCATGGAACTCATATTTTGAAAGGGTTTTAACCAGGGCCGACAGTCACCTGAAAGCTGCGCGCGGAAGATTGTCAAGCGTCTGCTGTCCTGATTTCATGGGAGCTCATTCCACCATTTTGGAGCCAGGATACGCGCAAACCCAGCGTGTTTTGCTGAGGGGAGCTTGGGGACCCTCACCAGTGATGGGGCAGCGAGCCTGTTGGCTGATGCAGAGCGGAGTGCACGTGCTGGGGCGGTAAGGTTTAAGTCTGCATTAAATCTCGAAAGAGATATTCGATTCCAGATTAGCTAAATAGCTAATAGCTAATATCCATCTGCCGCCTTTAGGCTTAAGTCACAGAAGGATAAACATTTTTATCCCAAATCACATCATTAAAAGTCGATTTAAATGAGAGAAGGTAAATGGATTTGTACATATTATTATTTTCTGTATCCCTTTATTATGTACTTCTCCATATCTAAACACAGGTCTGAGTAATCGACACATTTTGAAGAAAAGGAAAACACAAGGATAGAAAAACAAATAAAAATAAAAATAGATAAGTTACATGCTTTTTAGAACTTAATTAGTTAGAGTGCAAACATGAGGAGTAACACAATGCGGTCACTTCTCGGCAAATGACGGCTCCGCCCACTTTTTTGTGGGAACAAAGCTGTCATTTGAACGGCGGTAAAATTCCAAATTCTGTCGTTTATGCCAATCCGATCAGACATTTAAGAAAGACGTGATTTGTGGATCCTCAAAGAGCCCGATTAGATGGCAGTCAGTGCAACAATTAATTAAAATCATATTGAAATCGACGATCGGGCCGAATAATGGTAAATATAGGCAGTAGGCACGACGATGTCCTAGTGAGCCGTAACATCTACGTCAACTTAAGGCCCGCCCCTTTTCGGGGGGAAACCAACGCTGTCATTGAACGGCGATCGAGCCTAAGCCACCAGAGCCTTCCTGACAGTCCTTTCTTCTAGAGGTCAAGTTCAGAAACATGAACTCTGGATTTGTTTATAATGTTTGAGGAGCAATAAACGACCACAGCAAGCTTTGGCATGATACAAATACTGATTTTCCGCCTCGGCTCATGAGCGTAGACAGCCGGCGAAATTAAGCCTCGCCTACTGATTTTAATTACAATATTATCGGAGCCAGATCGTCGATTTCCAAATGATTTAATGTAAGGTTGCATGACTGGCCATTCGTGATCGGCTCTTTGAAATCAGACAATCCCACGGATTGCAAAATTTCGTGATCGGTTTGGCAAAATTTAGAAATTTGTATTACGCGTTTCAAATGACAGCGTGTTTCCCCAAAAAGTGGGCGGGCCGCTGCATTTTCGCCCGGTAGTGACGTGGTAGTCTCATCTATACTGTTATCATAAAAAATGGTAGAAACGAAAAACGTGTTACCTCGTCTTCCTATCTTCTCATTGCAACCGGCAGGTCTCTCCTCGGTGATGACAACACTTCGCCTGCGGTGGAAAGATCCTCCCTTCCTGCACCTGCAACATCGAGACGGAGGAGTAAAAAAAAAAACGTTTATATGTTGTTTTTGTGGAAAACGAGTGAGCTGTAAATGTTCCAGAGTCCACCCGGAGGGAACTCTGCCTGCAGCAGGCTCTGTCAGGACCTGGTTGCAGCGTTTCTCTGAGCCCTCTCCTCCAGGACGCCTACAGGGACACGCGGATCTCTCTGATCTGAGGTTAGCCGGGAGCAGGTTGAGACTGGAGCAGAAACAAACAGATTAACTTTGGTAGAGAGTTTGAGCCCCCAGAATTACGGAAGTTTCAGTATTAGGCAGACGTTAAAGAGCGGTCACAATCACGTCAATCTGGGGATTTACAGTTACCCCACAACTGCCATTTCAGTCATGCAATTTGGGCAGGAGATAATAATCTATGTCGGTGCAAGGCAGTTATTTTGATTGGCATTTGGATGTCTTACTGGCTGCAAAAGCATTAAGATAAAGTGCAAAGAAACAGCATTCTAAATCATACGTAAATACATTTAATGACGGTGATGAGAACGAGACATTACACCAGGGGGTCAAAACTCAAAATACACATGGGCAAAAGTAAAAAAAATGGGTACTAGTGGAGGGCCGGATGGTTAATGTTTATTGCAGAGAACTTATTGAAATGAACTTTTTATTGCACATATTAAACCTGGAACAAAAGCTTAAATGTTGCCNTTCTCCAGTGAATTCATTAAAAGTGATTTATTTATCTCTTGTAAGCAGTTAGAAAGTGCAATTTTAATGAATGCCTCAGGCTGCCGCCGTTCAGCCTTTGTGCCACACCCCATTCCTTTTTAATGTACATTTTCACTAGGCCTCATATCTGCAAGTGTTATAATAATACAACATTTCGATCAGCAGGATAGTCTTCATGAAACAACCTCATTTGTGATTTTTGAAGCGTAAAGGCAATCTCCAGAAATAACATGAGGCTATAGAGGACCGGGTGTTTTTATCTCTTGCAGAAAAACTAGCTAAAACTATTTTCAGTTGAATCACTCAAGCTTCTCTGGCCTGCAAGGGTCAACATGAGAGGAAAAGATGGTTAAAAGGACTGTATTACTTTACACTGTAGGGCCGGGGAGCTCAAAGGTAAAACAAGTTTTTAATATTCTGTTTCAAGCTTTTCTTGTCTTTGTTCAAATCAAAATTAATCAAAAGGAAAATGCTCCCGGGGGAAAGTAGTCATCTCATTTAGGAACTTGTTAGCAACTGCCAATTTTAAATTCACCACCAGTGGGGTATTTACTGACGAAGAACAAAACGTTCAAGTCTCTTCAGCGTGTGTTAACCACAGACCTTATTTCAGGATAACACATTCAAAAACCATTAACTTCAGGGAACAGGAAGTGGTAAAATCCTATGTGTGTGTCGGGGGGGTAACCTAGCTGCTCCTCACCTGCCTCAAGTCTCATATCTCAGGCCAAAGCCACTGTAACAGGGAGCAGCTGCAGCCACAGCCCATAATGAGTGAGTCTGTTGATGCCGGCAGCTTTGTGGAAGACAGTGGAGCTAAAATGTGGAAAAACACTTTATTTACCAAGCTGGATAGGAGTCTCTACTTTAAAGTGGTGTGTAAACAGCTTCAACACTGCGTGAAGTTAACAGTATTTTATACATGTGTTGCAACAACTCCATTTAAGACTTGAAGTTCACAACTTTTTCGTTTCTCACTGAAAAGTTTTTACAAGTGAACGTCCCGCTCAGACCTCGTCCTCCTGACAGACAAAACAGATGGAGCGGTATTAATCTGAAGTCTAAACAATGGTCACATGACAGGAAGAGCAGATGAAGTATTCTTCCTCACGCTGATTTGATCAGGAAGAAACAAGGTTCGTCCAGTATGTGAGCTGAGAGGAAAATATGGCATGAGGGGAAGGAACTAGTCAATGGAACTAAAAGGCAAATTAAATGATGAAAAATGTGACTTTAATGAAATTCATGCTTATTATTAATTTGCCTTTTAGTTCCATTGACTAGTTCCTTCCCCTCATGCCATATTTTCCTCTNATCCTTCTCTAAAATAATAACATTCTGGCAACATAAAAAATCTAACTTGCAGCTGAAAATGTTTTAAGAACAGTAGGGCATAATGTTCTAACAATGTTATCAAAAACATTTTAAGAATGTTTTTAGAGAACGTTAACCTACCTTTCAGAAGAACATTCTGGGAACCAAAATAAAAGCTTCTGGCAAAAACGTTTTAAGAACAGTAGGGCATAATGTTCTAACAATGTTTTCAAAAACATTTTAAGAAGGTTATCACCAAACATTTTAAGAATGTTTTTAGAGAGCGTTATCCTACCTTTCAGAAGAACATTCTGGGAACCAAACAAAAACTTCCCGCTGAAAACGTTTTAAGAACAGTAGGGCATAATGTTCTAACAATGTTTTCACCAAACATTTTAAGAATGTTTTTAGAGAACGTTAACCTACCTTTCAGAAGAACGTTCTGGGAACCAAACAAAAACTTCCCGCTGAAAACCTTCCTAGAACAATGACTGTAACATTCTCAGAATGTTTTTAGAACCAAACATTTCTAGCTGGGTACTTACGTCAAGTCAGTATTTCCCCCTGAAATGTTATGTTTAAATATGCAGATTAGCTTTAAATCTTTAGATGAATTCAGACATGGTAGTAAAACAAACACCATTTATAAATGTTTTTTGGAAGTTTTCTTTTCATTAGAGTGAAAGAAAACATGGAAGCAAAATAGGCCAAAATAACTAAATAACAAGTACATGAAAAAACGATCTTTTTGCTTGTAATTTTGAACAATTTTGATTGTTGGCTGCTAATTGTACTAGTTTGTTGTCTGCTCTTGTGCGTAGTGAATACTAGGCAATAGAAGACCATTGTCTCTGTGTTAACTGATTATTCTGTAGAATTCTGTTGAGTATTAAACAATTGCATGAGTGTGAGAGTATAAATAATAATAAATTGGTCAGTAAGTCAGAGATGTGCAACTATATTTAACTTTTTGTTTTACATTTTTTTTAATAAATGATTATGGGAAGTGCCCTTTTTCTCACTTGAGCTCCCGCCCCCCAAAATGTCTGTGCACGTCCGTGCTCCTGCGTTAACACTCTGTTCCCTGTGCTAAGTCTTTATCTCTGCCTGCCAGTCTCCGGATTCCCAGTCTCCTGCCTGCTCACTCCCAGCTCCTCGTGTCTGTCAATCCAGACCCTGGATCAGCCCCAAAAAGTCTCTCCGTCTGCCTACCCTGAAAACCAAGTTTGCTATAAACCTTTTTGAACCGTCGGTGTGCTGCACTCAATATTCAACTTGACAAATTATACATTTCAACTTTTACTTCTGAAGAATAAAGCATGTTGAAACATTTAGCTGCGTCTGAAATCACTATTACTTTGAAGCTGATGAATTTACTCTCTCACTTTTTATTTGACATCCAAATACTGAAAACTGTCATGGATGATATAATAACCTCAACAATCCTGACATTGTACAAAACACAGCTTCCTGTTTACAATCCCACAATGCAGTGTTTCATTTGAATATAGTATGTGAAAGTGACAGTTGTGAGACACCGTCATAAATAAATAAGCACAAGAAATCCGAAATGTACCACTCACTAGAAATTACATGTAAACTAATGACGCTTTATAAAATAAACAGTAGATAGTTAGTGATTTATTCCCAACAGAGTCTTGACTAAAATCTCATCAGATGCATCAACGACCTGCTCTGACTTCACTGGTTCGTTTTACCTGCTTCTTAAATGCAAAGACCTAGACAAAATATTGGTATTCAATCTTCCTTTGCCTGAATTAATGTATTAAATTGTACTGCGATGACACCAATAATAGTGTGAATAATTAGAATAGGAGTTAATAATGAAACAAGATGATAATGTATATGAATATATTCAAGCTCAGTGAGCTCCTTGGCCTTACTCTTTCTTGAATCAAACAGTTATTATAGTTATACAGTAATTAGTGTATCTCATCTGCCCTCCATGCAGATGAGATACACAGATACGGCTTAACACTGATTAATAAAGATAAACTGATTAAGGTTGCGCCAGGTATTGTCTGAAGGCGTTTCTTTCAAAGTGAGCAATACAACCCCACTACCCCCCCCCTCCACACACACACACACACACACACACACACACACACACACACACACACACACACACACACACACACACACACACACACACACACACACACACACACACACACACACACACACACACACACACACACACACACACACGTTGATAAAAACCTCCTGTGGCTTGTAAATAAAACAGCCCTGTGTACTGCAAAAGGGATGCAACTCTTTGCAGACGCAGGTGCTTGGTAGGAATGTGCAGACCCTGTTTGAACCCGACTATCAGTAAACACAGAGGAGTGATCGCATATACGAAACTGTTGCAATCTTTTGGCTGTTACCATAGGAACACAATCTGACATGCACAAAATGTTTTCCTCACCTACTGCCATCTCCATCTGTTTACCATTTCGTGTTGCTGATCTAATGAGAGATTCTATCATCCCTGCTATGGTGGTGGAAAGTGTAGAGACACCATTGAGAAGAAGATAAATCCAGGGAGAGAGAGGAAAATAAGAAATGACTAAGTTCAAACAGAAAACGTACAGAAAAGACTAAAAGCAGAGAGTCTGATAGGGAAACGTGTAATGCTGTATTTTGATGTGGTTAAAGATCTGTAAATAGATTATTATTCTATTCATCCACTCCCAGAGTCAATTCCTCAGCAAATGTAACACATCATTATAGTTGCTATTGAAAAAACCTGGGGGGGATAAATAAAGTTGATAAAACACGTCTCCGTCACAGCATCACTCGCTAAATGTTACCCGTTACTCGTCATTTTTTAGCAGAAATATTTCGTTTTTATGAAATGTGTGTGAAGATTTATCCGATGTGGGTCATTTTTGTCGTAATCAAAAAGTGATTAGAAAAATGTGTGATGGACACGCACTCACAGGAAGTAAAACCATCCCAGTAGAGCAAATGTGTAATGATAACAATCCATCCTTTTCTGCTGAGCTTTACGTTAGATTGCATTTCTCCTCTAGAATCTTTCCATTCATCTGCTGAAATCCGGTTTTCATGACAAACAATAAGACACACACACTCACTCCATCACTGCCCCCTGTAGCTGTCAGAAAACGGGTGGGGGTGAAGGGATGGAAGGGGAAGAAAATAACACGAGTGAGGGGAAAAGGAATGAAAGAATTTGAAGGATTACCACGGTATATGTGTGTGTGTGTGTGTGTGTGTGTGTGTGTGTGTGTGTGTGTGTGTGTGTGTGTGTGTGTGTGTGTGTGTGTGTTTGTGTGTGTTGTACTGTAGTAATAACTGTCTCTATCTGAGAAATCCATCTGAACCAGAAGTGACTGACAAGCTCTCCACAGCTGACATGGACATGGAGACAAAGAAGAGAAGCTATGCAACAGCCTAAATGACAAGTATTCAACATAAATCAACACCTTTTGCTATGTGTGAAGTCAGAAGGATTGTGAAAGAGTTGGCCTATTTCTGAACAAAACGCAACTACATATCTAAATAGTTTATTTCATTGAGCTGAGAGCTCCAGTACTCACCAGCCTTATTGTTCCTATGTGCTGGTTTGCTGTGCTCCTGACCAGGCAGACAGGGACACAGCCCGTCACACTTCACTGAGACCGTCTTCCCAGAGAGGCAGCCCTGGAACTCCAACTTACACTGTAGAAAAAACAGATTCATGAGTAATGAAGGTTTATTCAAGTTTCTCGAGGGCTGGAAACTCAGCATAAAGACACACATCGTCAGTATACTTGTCTTGGGGACTTGGCCTGTAAAAACAGTTGTACAATGTCTTTTGTGGCTCTGCAGGCGCTCTCTGAAACAATCCAGATTTTGTTTTCATGGTCATCATGCATTGGAGGTGATGGAAAACTACCTTCGTTGAGTTTCAGAGTTGAAATGGTAATTGCTTTGACCACACCAGATCAAAATATTGTTTTCTTTCCCCTTTGATGGATCTTGCACTCAGCTAAAAAGATCTGCTATTTTGCAGCCTCAAATTATGCATTTAAAGACTTGGTCAATGACCAGGGATTGAAGGTCTTATAACTAAGTACTCTTGCATTTATAATAGGGCTTTCAAACGATTAAACATTTTAATCCGATTAATCACAGCTTAAAAATTAATTAATCATGATTAATCAACATTCGAACTATGTCCAAAATATGCCATTTCTTTATGTATATTGTTGTGGGAATGGAAAGATAAATTTTATTTATTATTTATTATTATTTTTTATGTATTTATTTAATTTATTTTCACAGAACAATGTTATAATAAACATACATAGGCCTACATGTATGTATGTTTATTATAACATTGTTCTGTGTGTCAAAATGAAAGACAGCCCACACACCTATCAATCATCAAACCGTGGGGTCTTATTTCATTACGTGTTGATTTCTATCAAGACGTAATGTTGTATCGATGTATATAGAGATGTACTACAGCAAAAGTATTCTCCGTCAGGACTTCCTGCAACAACACCACGCCGTTATCTTGATTCTGATTGGCCAGAAGACGTTATCAAAGATGTTCTATTGAGAAGACGATCACTACGTGACAAAAGTTTTCAAAACCGTTTCTAGTCTTCGGTATTTCCAGACAAGTGGCTACTGAAATCAATCTTACTAACTGCTGTCCGTGCAATTTACTCCGCGAGTTGGCGGACTTTATTTTGCTTACTTTAACATCATTTTTCATGGTGGGGCTAAGGTGGGGCTAAGCCATTTCTTGGTATGGCTGTAGCCTATCCCAGCGCTGCCACTGGTGGAGGGAAATTAAGTTAAGAAGCTTGTTTTATTGCTGTAGTTTTTCTTAATGTGCTCATTTCTTTCTCATTCCTATTCCGGAGACGGGTTGGATGAATAATAAATCTCCCAACAGGTATCGACAGTCTCCTTGAACTTGTCAAGCTCTAAATATTAGAGAATATTTTAAGACGAGACCTCTATTTGTGTTTACTTCTCATGTCCATTATTGGCAAAATATCCTCGTTTCGCAGTAGATATGTCGCCTGTATCGATGATATGATTCCAGCTTGTGTTGGAACTCTTCTGCCCTAAATACTTCCATGGAGCTCCACTGTTGCATTTACATAAACGGTATGGAGGTATGGGTTTACGTACGAAGAGACAGGCCAACATTTCAACAGAATGTACGTAGAGACCACATGTTTAAGTCTCTTGTAATATTTTAAATATCATAGTAAGATAGATCAACATTACTATTTGTTAAGAGCCATGTTTTGGGTCATCTGACACATTTTTACTCTGCTAACTAAAGCTCTTGTGCTGGAAGGGCTTGCCTACAGACTAAGCCATATGGCGAAACTGAAGCAATATGCAGCACCTCTGTAGTGAAGCTGAGTTGAGTGTTAACTCTGTGAATTATGCACTTTGGGCAACCATTTCACCGTAGTCATTCATTTTATTTATGTCAATATGAAAAATATTGATGAATGTATAGATTTTGATATTCGGTTGCAAATGCATTTAACAGGCGTGGGCAGTCAATGAAATGATCAGTATTTAAACGTCTATACTGCCATACTGTCAGGTCAGTCAATTCATTCTGATGTTGAATCTATATGATTGAAATATAGCTGATAGGAAGGCTGCCAATATGTTATGTAATGTTATCAAAGTTACAAAATGGACTAGAGTGCAATATTTGTATCAACAAATATTCACAAACAGGGAAAATATCGTTCTGAATTAAATATTGTGGTGCTGAGAGTCCTGGGCTACAAACGTTATTCTCCAGACATCATAAAAAAAATCCTTGTTTGTTGTAGATTATCTTAAAAAATCACACAATTTTGTCATCATTTCAAAATATTTATTTTAATTGTTTTAAAAATTCCCTTAAATATCGCGAATCATATCAGAGCAATTGCATAAAAAGTCAAAATAATCGTAATTAGTTATTTCTTCCCAAATCCTGCAGTCCTAGACAGCAAAGATGAAAAATAATAACTGCCTTCGTGAACTTTTTTAATCTACTTTCCACTATAGAGCTTCAGCCAGCATTTTGAAAACACGATCACGTTTTTTTTTTTAAAGTTGCAACTCTGAGTAATTACCGCTGGCACTTTAAGAGTTGGCTGTGGTCGGTTACTTCTAATTAACCAGACGCCTTGTTAGAGGACACAGACTGCAGTGGTTGTTTATTCAAATGTTATTATTCTCACATGAGCAAACAAACCAAGCTAAATGGATGAAAGCTTTCCTATTAAACCAGTCCAAACAACCAGACACTAACCACAAACTGTTTTAAAAATGCAGTCCTTAAATGCGTCTGACCCACAGACTGAGTTAGACCGAGTTAAACT